TTTTTTTACAAACAAAACTAAAGGCATTTGAAGAATCTATTTCGTATACTAGACATGTTCTATTTAGTTCAGTAGATATAAAAAAAAAATGGTAATGTAAAGTACTTATTGAATACAGCGGTTTTCTTGTAAAACTTTGCGGTAAGATTGTCAAAGTCAAAGTCAAAGATTATTTATTCCATGGGTAAAATAAATTTACACTTGAAAACGTCACATTTAAGCTACTGCTCGTTCACTACGCTGACCTCCCTGAGAAGAACGAGCAAGAAACTCTAGGGATTGCTCTTTTCAAATAAACTTAAATGCTATGGAATACACTTTGAGTCAAATTTGTGTGGATTCTGGAGCCGTGTCGTCTTTCCATACATCTTTATCTAACACGTAGTCTTCAATTTTGTAATATGATTTTTCGATCAAAATATTTTCAATGTAGTTTTTAAACTTAGGAAATGATAAACTTAATATATGCTCCGGAATCTTATTGTAAAAACGTATACAGTTCCCCATAAAAGGTCGTTTACTTTGGTTAAACTAAATCGTGGTACCATGAGTTTGGACTTAGCTCTAAGGTTAATATTATGGATATCTTCTTTCTTATTGAAATTATGTATATTTTTACGGGCATATAAAATATTTGAATAAATGTACCGTGAAGCCACAGTCATGATACCAGTCTCCTTAAACTTTTCTCTGAGAGAAACCCGAGAGCCTAGACGGTACACAGAACGAATTGCTCGTTTTTGCAATACAAATATGGTTTGAATATCTGCCGCTTTACCCCACATGAGAATCCCGTAGGACATTATACTATGGAAGTAACTGTTGTGTTTTCTTTTCTATGGTGAAAATTTTTAGAAATCAGTGATTTTCAGGTAAGTTTCTTGTACTCGATTTTGGTGACATTTTTTATTATTTAATTACTCGAATATATCGTCGTGAAATATTAAAGAATATTTCAGATTACCACACTGGAATATTAAATAATGCTTCATGATGATATTGTATAAATATTTAAATAAAAAGAAAATTGTCACCAAAATTGAGTACAAAAAACTTACATGAAAATCACTGAAATCTCGTTTTCCCACCGTATAGTAACCAGTGTGTATCCTCAACTTTATTATATAGTTTTTCCGAAGTGATTGATTCAACACTTTGACTGTAATGTGGAATCAATCAAAGCCATTTGAGGCTGGCTCTGTAGGAAGATGTCAGATAAAGCCAAGGAGGTTTGGAAATCATAATATAAAGTGTATATATATGTCAAGGAAATGGAAGAATATGTCGTGCGCCTGGAGGGCAGTGACTCATCTATTCATAAGTTACAGTGCTACACGATTGAAGGGACATTGCCTGCGCCCGTCACACTGAGACTTACGTCAACATGATGCTATAATACTCACATTACTGCTTGGAGGCAGAAGCAGGTATGGTGGCAGTAGTTCCGTAGACGAACTCTTTCACAAGGAACCGAATTTCTATTAAGTACTGGGTGCCGACAGTATGACGAGACCCGTGCCTAATAGGAAAAATTGTTACTAAACAACGTAACGAGTGCGTGACTCAAAAAAAGGGACATTCGTGTCGGAAGTCGAATTCGTAACTTTGTGATTCCCGAGAAAATTTTCGCCCAAAGTTTGACGTGTGTATAAAATAAGGTATATTAGAAAAATAACTCTTACATTTTCATTCAAAATCATGAGCATAACTTGGTTTCATTCTTTTCCTGAACGAATAGAAAAAACCTTGGAGCCATCTCTTTATTATTGCTAAGAACCCGGTTCACTATAGCCTCAAGTGTACAAAGTGAACAAAACCAATGCTTACTTTTTGTCGAGTTGTACCTAACAAAATGGAATGGAGTCCATGTTGGGGTTCTAAATTATTTTAAGTAAGAAAACAGATCACATATAACTTCTTGTGCTTCGCACGCAAAGATTCCTGGTTCGATTCCTAGGCCGGGAGAAATATTTGTATGGCCTATGTTTACTTCTCTTGTGAGTTTGGGTGTGTATTAATGTGTATTAATCTTAAAATTGTATATTGCAAAGCAAACTTTGCAGTTAATACATTCTTTTATTCGTGAAAATACTAGTTATGTAGAAGTTGATATATAACAAAAAGTATAGTTTCACTGTATTCGGGCATACATACTTATGGACGACATGTTATTATACAATAATATGTTTTTTTAATAACATCATATGGATATGCACACATGGATTTAATAAATCAGTCTGTATTTTAAACGTGGTGATAATTAGAGATAGAAACGAAAAATTGAATCTTGTGGGTTGAGTTGTATTTCTAGGTATAACGTTAAATGCTAAATTGCAATGTGGTCCATATATAAGTAAGTTATCAAAACGACTCGGCTCTGCAGTGTACGCGATTAAAAAAATACGGAAACTTTCAGATGTCGATACCGCTATATTGATTTACTTCAGCTACTTTCACAGTATAATGACGTACGGCATTTTGCTTTGGGGTAATGCCGCCGATATCAATAGAATCTTTGTCCTGCACAAACGTGCGGTTAGGGCAATTTACAATCTGGACCCCAGAGTACCTTTGAACACTTTGAAAACTTATCTCGTTTAAGGAAATTAACATTCTTACAATATTGTAATTTATGTTAAGAGGAATAGTAATTTCTTTATGAAAAACAGTGACAGACATAACATTAGTACGAGGAATAAAAATAAACTAGCTGTTCTTAATAGTCGTCTTCACAAAGTCACAAATTCCTTTAAAGGGTAATGTGTAAGATTCCGGTTGATCATTGACTTACAATTATATGGACGTCGGGTCCGCGCTAAAAAGTGTCCGCACTTGTAAGGCGCTAAAATCGTATACAGAGCGCGACACTCCGCTTTAGTCTTCATTTGTTCTACGGACAGCGCGATACTGCGATGACATAACAATTTAAATTTCGAATAGGTTGACTTGGGACATTTTTTTCGTGGTTTTTGTATTAGACCCGTCGTCCATTTATTTGTAAGTCAATGCGGTTGATAGACAAAATTTGTCTTTCACGAGATTTAAAACTATAGGGAAACAAAAACTTTATACTAAAGGTTATTATACAACTTCTGCGTACTTGGATGACAAAAATCCGTGGTAGTACCCGTTTAGCTCATGGAGGTAGTCTCGGTCTCTGATATTCCAAAACAAAAACAATATTGTAAATGTTGAATGTGTACAAATGTTATTTATAAAGAGCAACCCCTAGAGTTTTGCTCATTCTTCTGAGGGTAATCTGCCTTACGAATGAGCGATATAGTTTAACCAATGTGATTATTCCAAGTGTAATAATGCTTGCCTATGAAATAAAGATTATTTTGATTTTGATTTTTGAGTTAATGATAATAATTGTAAATGTAATTGGACGTCAAAAAATAATGAAACGAATAACGTCTAAATAAATATACAAATGTCAAATATCAGAAGATAATGAAGTTAAAGATTTGTCATTGAAAAATTCCGACGCTGTATAGTTTACGAATTTAAAGGTATGGCAGTATTGCGACGCATTACACGTGCGCATCGTTCAAGGGGCCACGGGGCCTACCTCGGGGTATACCTCTCCAAAAACAATCTTATTTCAATGTAAGCTTAAAGTAAGGTTATTGTAATATTACTCATATTCGTACCATGACGAACCTGTCAACCAAGTAATGTATTATTGCAAAAGTGCTTGAAAGAACGAATGATTTCCCAATATTGTCTATTCCTTACTAAAAATAGGAAAGAAATAACGCTATATGAACTATATAATCTTTCTGTTTTGATGTTCCGAATCGTCTTATCGTAGTATAATGTTTAAGTACTTAATGTTATTTACATTCAGGGAATTTTGACTCTTAAAAAAGAAAAGTATGTAATAATAAAATCTAATAAAATTACGTTGTTTTCAATAATTATTCCGCATTTTCAAGAAGAAAACTAAATAAAACGAGCCGAGTCTTGATAGTCACGTTGTGAATTCTGAATTATAGCCTCGTATCAACTGTTATTGTCGCCAAGGAGCATATAGATGTCGCTGTCATAATTTTACGAAATAAACTTGGCGTATTTTTATTAAACGAAAAATTATTTACTATGTGCTAATAAATAAAAAATAAATAAAATATTGAAGAGATATTATGTAAATAAATAAGTTCAACTTAACTTTTAATCATTACAAATCAATATTAAGACAATAAAACTGAAAATAATATTGTTTCCATAGCATCCGTATAAATACTTTAAGGTTGCTAAATTTGACATAAGAGCAATATTACTTTAATGTTAAAGTCGCGTCATAGTACGAACTGAGTAAATGAATAGTCACAAAGCTGCCAATAAAACATCATAGTTTTAACATTGCAATAAGCTTACTTTAAGCGCGTTATGGCACGAAAAGTCAATGTGAGGTTAAAGTAATATTGTTTGAAGAGGTTGTGGTAGGCCCCCAGGAGACTCCCGCCTGCAGTGGCGATTACTTCCTCCTCTTCTCTTAAAAAGAAGAGGAAGAAGAAACCAAGGAAGAGCAGGGCGGCGACGCAGGCTGAAACTGAGGTCGCCCCGTCAATCGCACCTACCACTACCACCTGGTACGGGAGGAGACGTGGTCGGCGGTGGTGGGGCGCAAAGCGCGAAGCAGACTGGCACAAGAAGCCTCGCAATCCAAGGCTATGCCGCCACTGCCGCCATAACGGTGACAGTACCGGATGGCTCATCACTGAGCTATGCCGCAGTCATGGCCGTCGCTAAAGAGCGGATTGACTGCGACATACAGGCGCCGGGAGTGCGCATTAAGCGTGCATAGACCGGGGGTATAATAATAGAGATCCCCGGTCCAGACAGTCCTTCCAAGGCCGTGAACTTAGAAGAAAAGATGAGCCAGGCTCTCTCGGACTTCCCTGGAGTGTCACGAGTGCGGCGCTGCTACAGACTCGGCGAGGCACACCTTGGAGGTGTGCCCGACCTGGAGCCAGCAGCGTCGGGATCTCGTAGAGATGGTGGGACGAGACCTCTCACTGCCCAGCATAGTTAAAGCCATATTGGGAAGCGAGAGGTCATGGCAGGCGATGGTTTCCATCTGCGAGGACGTGATGTCGCGGAAGGAGACAGCAGAACGGGTCCGCGAAGACAGCGCCCTCTCGGACCCCATTCGGCGTCGGTGGAGAGGACGCACGCGACGACTCTTCGCCGACCGCCTGCGTCCCATCAGCGGAGGCCAGCAGGGTGCGGGGTTGGGAGACCCTGCCCCTGCATTGCACAGGCCTCCGCCGCCGGTAGATACCCCAAATATTCCGGGGCATCTCCGTGCAGGTCGCCCCCCATGATTAAGGGGGGATGGTGTAGGGGTCCGCCCAAAAGCAAACCAGCTCCACCGGAGTCGCGGTAGCATCTGAAAGGGACCCCGCGGCTCCGGCGCCAGGTGCGCGCAGGAACATCGTGAGGTTTTTAGTGGGTACGCTCTTGGGGATCGACATAGTCCCCAGGAGAGAGTCCCACATATCCCGCGTAAGAATGCGTAACGCATTTTCCTCACGGTAATAAAAAAAAGAAAAAGAAAAAAAAGGCTCTCTCGGACTTGACCGTGCTTATTAAAGTCCGGAGAGATCAAGGCGACGGGCCTCGATGAGGCCGTTACCCCGGAGCAGATTGCCGCAGCGGTCGCGGGCACCGGAGGCTGCACAGTGAGCGACCTACGAGCAGGAGAGCCCCGTCTCTCACGCAGCGACATGTTCTCGACATGGGTACGCTGCCCCCTCACGGCGGTGAAACGCATCGCCGTGTCAAACTGGATCTCCGCAAAAGTGGAGGACGGCAACGATGTGTAAGTAAGGGGCGGCGTTACGTTGCGACACCGCATTGTTCGTGTGGCACTCGGTGTTTGGAAAACATAGCTTTGAGATTATGCAACGCACCGGCGGCACCGGTGTGCGGTGAATCGTGTAAACCTTTATTCACTGCACCCCACCCACTTGCCACTTCATTCCTCATCTACGTCATAGATAATGCTTTTAATTTCAGGCCATTTTTACGCTTTTGTCGCGCTATACCAAAACAAAACAATGAACTTATTACGCCATGTAGTAGGTATTACGATATAAATATTATGCACTCATTGACTTACAAATAAATGGACGTCAGGTCTAATACAAAAACCACGAAAAAAATGCCCCAAGTCAACCTATTTAAAAGTAGTGACATGTAAAGGAATATGAAAAAGCTAAAACGTTGAATTTAAATTGTAATATCATCGCAGTACTGTCTAATTTTGCTTGCTTCGCTGTCAGTCCAACAAGCGAAGACTAAAGCGTGAATGACGCTCTGTATACGATTTTAACGCCCTATAAGTTCGGACACTTTTTAGCGCGGACCCGACGTCCATATAATTGTAAGCCAATGTATGCACTAGGTAGATTGGTTTTTCTTTATGAACATAGAGTATATTTTACAAATGCAAAAGTATCATAATATACTATAAAAGTAAGTAGTCATCGCGATCATAAAAAAAATGTTATCATCTTTATTGTACCCATGATGACGAATAAGATGATTTGATTTTGTTTCATCCATATGAATTTATCCGAATGCTCTTTGGATTTATTTGCAATGCGTAAACTCTATTGTTTTTTCTGTTCTCCGAAAAAGTTTAAATTCTATTGAGAATGATTGCGTAGCTTTTAAAATTTATTTGGCTTCTGGAATATTTTGAAAAGTAATTTTTACTCGAGAGTATTGAGTCAAACTTTTACCTCAGGCGTTTGGCTTCAGTTTGTTATTGACTTTAACAGGGTCTTGAATATTTAGTGGACTTTATTGAAAGGTTCTAAGTGACTCAGTTTTAAGTTGTATTCATTGAAAAATTCAGTGCGGATGACGAGAACTTTGTTTATACTGCGATAATATTTGAATTCACTATTCTATTTTAGTGGCACTATGGCTCCTTGTGAACGAGTTTGTCCTGGGAAGTACTGCCACCTTATCTATTTCTGCCGCCAAGCAGATAATATGAGCATTGCTGCGTTTTGGTATTGAAGTGTAAGGTCTAGCGAAATTACAGGCATATGGGACTTTTTAACTTATGCCTCAGGGTGACAGACGCAGTGGGAATGCACCTCAGATCTTTGCGATATAAAGCTGCAGCTCTGAGTGGCACTGCAAGTGTTTTGGACAGGTTATCACCAATAGTATGACTTGGATGCTAATAACGCACGGAATAGAAATCACTATGAGAAAAATAGTTAATTACTAAACACTGTTTATAACATTACCGTAATTAAGGCTCAGCTCAAGAGACAGAACGACTTCCGTGGTCTATGATATTTACACCGGTTTTCATGGTGTCGCTGATCTCTGAGGTCCCGGGTGCGATCCCCGGCCGGGTTAGTGTAGAAAACTTACTTTTCTATATTGTCTCGGGTCTGGCAGTTTGTGGTACCGTCGTTGTTTCCGATTTCCATTACGCAAATACTTTAGTTACTTACTTTGAAATCAGAGCACTTTATTTATTTATTTAGGACGAGCAAGTCGTGCGCCTGTTGTTAAGCGACATGCCTGTCTATTACAGTTGCTATTACTTAGAGCTTTAAATCGCAAAGGGGGCACTGCCGTTGCGTCTGTCATCCTGAGACATAAATTGACTAGTTCCTCACAACCATGTTCCTTACAAAAACATACAAAACCTTAGACTGTAATGCTCACATTACAGCTTGGCCACAGAAATAGGTAAGGAGTAATAATAATAATAACTCACACACTAAACATAACGCCGCACTAGGGAAACTCTGTGTTGGGGGTTGCCATGGACACACACATAGGCAACCACAAATTACACCCAAACTCAAGAGAGAAATAAATGTAGGCCATACAATTATTTTTCCCGGTCCAGGAATCGAACCTGGGACTTCTGCGTGGCAGTCCGGTATGATAATTAAAAAATTAGTAGGTATTTAAAGTAATATTGTACAAAAAAAATCATATGTGTGTTGCACTCAGTACTGCCTCTGTGGCCGAACGGTTACCACGCAGAGGTCCCAGGTTCGATTCCTAGGCCGGGAGAAATATTTGTATGGCCTACGTTTACTTTTCTTCTGAGTTTGGGTGTGATGTGGGGATGTTTATGTGCGTATCCATGGCACCCGTGACACAGGGTTTCCCTGGTCATGATTGTGTGCTTTATTATTATTATTAATCTTAAAATTGTATATTGCAAAGCAAACTTTGCATTTAATACATTCTTTTATTCGTGAAAATACTAGTTATGTAGAAGTTGAAATGTAACAAAAAGTATAGTTTCACTGTATTCGAGCATACATACTTATGGACGACATGTTATTCAATAGTATTATATAATATTATATGTTATATTTTCTGGTTGTCTGTGTGTGTGTCCATGGCACCCGCGATACAGGGTTTCCCTAGTGCTGGGCCATGTTGAGTGTGTGCGTTATTATTATAAAAAGTATTGTTTTTTACTAAAATATCGTATTTTTGCTATCATATTGCCCGAAAAGCCCTCCATCTTCTCGTGTCAACACGACGTCCGCCATTTGCACGCAAACCAATTATGCTGCTCAAACATTCTATTGACTTTGAATCTTGCTTTTTCCCTGCGCTATTGCTTACGGTCGAACAGAAAAATTAAATTTTTGCCGATAATGGAATGATGATCAATAAGAAATAACCCAACAAAATAGATGGAAAATAGTAGTTTATGTTATTATTACATAATAATATGATGATGCCATTAAAATACGAGTGTGGGTTTATCATAAACACATCTCACGAGTATTTTAAAGACTAATTATATAAATTTACATACACTGCTTTATCTATAAGCTCTCTGTGATGTGTTCAGGAACCGCATGTTACGACTGGCGAAATGGCGGCAAATAAAAACTTTTCTCACGCATGTCACACAACCGTAGTTTTTATTTTTAATTCATAGACAAACTGGAATCGGCCCCAACTATCACATCGTTCGATATCAAGTAACGTGTGAAATTGTCAAAATTGTTTGCTATTGACATTTCATTTCGAAGAAAACTTCACCTCGACTGATATTAGAATTGAGGTCCAATCAAATTGTTTTGTTTTTCAGAGATATTCGAAATTTGAATGAAATAATAAAATCGAAGTCGATGTTAATAATGAAGCAATAATTACATTTTCACAGATAAGAAATTTGTTCTAACAAAACAGTTTATCTTTATGCTGGTCGTGATTTGCGGTTTTTGAACACATCATAGAGAGTTAATAACATATTTACATGGAACCAGCAAAACATGCCATTATATAAGCTTTTTTTATGATATCAAATAACTGGATGAAGAAATTATGGGCCATAGCAGTTACATTGCCATTCACAGCCTTAAGATGTATTGCCACTGTGCCCGTCACTCTGAGACAGGACTTGAGAAGTCCCATGTGCCTGTAATTTCACCAGGACCCTTACCCTTCAAAACCGGAGCGCAGGAATGCTCATATTACTGCTTGGCGGCAGAAATAGGTAAGGTGGCGGACGGTTTCTTTCACAAGAAGTTCTACAGCTACTCTACAGTCTGTTTTTTATATCATTACAAAACCAGTGATATATATCAGGAGTGTTTGTTTAAATAAGTACTGATTTGAAATAAAAAAAAAACTAGTCAACTACTCGTAACAATTTTAATATTACATGCAAGTATTTCCTACATAATTTTCACCAATATTAAGGCACTTATCGTATCATACAAGCAGCTTTTGTATCCTGTCATCATAGAAATCTGCTGCGTGGTTGTTAGATCATATCTGACGACTACTACTTACGTCATCGTGGCTCTGACCACCGAGATGCTTCTTCAAATGCAGAAACACGTTTTAGTCGCTGGGCGCTAGATAGGGATTGTATGGAGGTTGATAAACTTGTCAGTTTCATCAACTTTTTGTACCAACTCTTGAGTAATGACAGAAGGTCGTCTACTTCGTTTCTCCTCATGAATATTCTAGCGGCCACCTTTAAAAACTCAAACCCATTTTCATACCATTGCATCGCTGATGTTTTGTCCATATATGTACTTCACAGATCTGACATATATGGCGGAAGCATTTTAAATACGCATAACAAACAAAAACACAGTCGAATATTGATGTTTTCACGTCTGTGGCTTGCCAACAAATGTAAGCAGGCAATACACCTCGTGTGTATAATGGATAGATAATGATGTACAAAATAGAGATTATTTTAGATCAATTGTTTGTTGATATCGACATCGGTAATTGACTTTTAAAGACTAGAAAAAGACAAAAAAGAGGGCAAATTAAAAAAATGTATATGTTACAATAATCTTACAATATGTCTTTGCTTCTTGTATATAAAGTTAATTAAGGCAATTTATCAATGCTGTTCTAGGTCTTTTATAATTTAAGATACAAAACATGCCACGGATAAACCGGTAAGGGCGGTAATATTTGATGGCAGTCTTTTAGATATTCTTTCAGAACGCGCAGTAAGTACGTTGCGTGCAAACGTGTGTTTACGTTTAACACGTTCATCGCTGTGGTGGGTCAAAATGATGGCAGCTCATCTTCCTATTGGGGCCATGGGTAATGACCGCGAATTGACCGGTACGACGTAACCTAACTTTACGATACTCGTTCATGCTGCAGGTGACAAACGCTCGTGGCATTTAGCCATATAACATGACCGGCTCTAACGAACTTCTGTTGCTGCTTGGTTTTTGGCATACCTACTTTTCTAGGCTTAGAGAAAAAAAAAGATTGACTTTTATTTCAAATTGAATTTAACCGTTACAAAGTAAGCAAAAAAATGATAAATGTGAAATGTCAATGT